ACAAGATAAAAGTTAAATAACGAAGAGGAAAACAGTACCCTATGCAAAAGAGATGCTGATATTTAAGAAATGTCTAAGGAAATCTGTAATGAGAAGCTTTGACATTCGTACATAATTCTTTTAGTTCAACAAAAAAAACATTTCAACATAAAAGGGAAGTTGGGGGTCTTCCCTTTATACCATGCCAAAACAAAAGTATGTAAGCACTGTCATACACAAATAAATAAGCAAACAAACAACCATTGCATCTGGGTCAGGCACATTCCCCTGTGAGTCTGTACACGTTTAAATATTTTGACTTTCACTTCCTCTATTCCTGAACTCCCAGAGGTCAGAGGCCAAGTCTTTGTCATTTCTCCAAACACAGACCTGCCACAAAGCCCAGGACACAGCAGAGCCTTTGTAAATGTTTGCTCAGTGAATGCATGAAAGATGCACCCTGGTCTGCGAATGACGGAACAGGGAGTTCAGCATGTAGGGAGTGCAGAAAGTACATGACCCAAATCGCAGTCTAAGTCATAATCACCATCACCAACCCCCAAGATTCTCGGTTTCTTTTAAAGAAAAAATAAAGATCTTCCTGTACTCTGGGTTTTCAATTTTCTGGGTTTTTCCCCCCTCCTTCAACAAGGCATTGTCACATGAAATGGAGCTATTATGAGCTCAGGCCTTTCAAGTTCACACTCTATTAGTGGTTACACAAAGTCTGCTAGTATTATTCTGAATCCAGCCTTTGACTGCAACCCCAAGCGGTTGAATCGTCATACTAAGGCTACCAGAGAGCACTAGCAAAGCATGCATTCAGAGAACAATAAAAAATGCACAAATGTCCTACCCTCTGATCATCACTACTTTGTTCCATGCAAACCTCAAAGGTAGATCCTTAAGACTGATCTCTATGGGAGAAAGGAAGAAAGAAATGAAGGAGCATGAAATGTAAAATATGAAGAATACAAGCAGCTATAATTTGCATAAAGCCCCCAATTTTCTTTGGTAAGAAATTCGTGTTTAATGCCTAGTGAGGCAGACTCTGGCATTTGGCTGGGTAAGAGCCTCTCCTCTAAGAAGAACCAGTAAGCAACTGTTGGGGACTCCTTACCCAGCCTGCTACCTTGTACAAGAGTGGGTCCTTAATAAGGGCAAAGGTTACCTTTCATTCCTGGGGATGCCTTCCCAGGTGCACAGCTGCAGCCCTCAGAGTCTGCCTTAGGATCTGTTTGCACATAGCAATAGCGGGCTGCTACTCTCTACCTGAACCAGCAGAAGCTCCACGGGAAGAGACTCTGAAAAGGTCACAGAGAAGGGAAAAAAAGGTTCTTTCTTCCATGGCTATAGGGGGTTTATTGTTGCTGTTTCCCAAACTAGAAAAGGAATAGCAGGAGATTAATAACTGAAACTGTAATGTTGCTATTACTGGTTTTCTAAACTATTTGTGGGTTACACTTTCCCTGGGGTTGTCGTGCCTGTAAGCAACTCAGAAGACTGGGGGATTTAACACATACTGCGAAAATGCCTACTCTAGGCAGGAACTCTACTAAATACCAAGTTCTAATGGCATCCTCACACAATCCAATAAAGGCTAAAAGTTCTGAAAAGTAAGATATCAAGGTCATAAGCTAGATGCAAACTCCAATTTCTCTGATCTGAGTGTCCTGCCATCCTGTCCAGTATCAAGAATAAAACTAATGAGTTTTGCTTCACTATTCAAATGTAACAACAAGGAAAACAATACTTATACTACTAACTTAAAATATATAAAGCATAAACACAGACAAAGATACATCACAAAATTCTTTTGAGGGAAGATGATTCAGCTTGGTGGGCAGGTGTCTTCGGGACCATCTGATGAGGGATTTCGGCATGCCAGTGTTTACAGAAAGCCTAAATATGAAAACTTCTTTAGTTTCCTCCACACTCATCAATAAGCCTCATCTCAGGTTAGTAGGACATAGTTAACTTGAAATTTAGGTCCCTCTAATTGGAAACCCATAGAGATATGGACCCCTGTGGTTGACCTTTGCACTGCATACGAAAAAGGCCTTGGTAAGCAAGTTGATGGAGAAATAATCACAAGGCAAATGTTTAACCTTCTAAAGAAAATACCCCCCCTTTTTTAACAAGAAGTTTAACTTGATCAGTATCAAGTCACTGGAAACTAATGTGCTATTTATAAACCTATTCTTTAAGAAAGTTCTAGAAGACTGATTACTTTTTGCCACTTATTAATTTGTGTTATCAAACATACTGTGTTTCAAAAGCAGCATGCCTGTCTAAATTTCTACATTCCAGCCTTCACTCAGTATTCCAGTCACACACCATTTGAGAAATTCCAGCTAAAAATCTCACTTGTCATTAGACTTCTGAGAAGGATCATGTAGAATATTAGGAGGCAAAAGAAATCCCTCTTCTTGGAGAAGTCTGCAGGAAAAGCCCTGCTCATTTAAGACACAACACAGAGGGAGAGAGAAGAGAGAGAGAGAGAGAGAGAGAGAGAGAGAGAGAGAGAGAGAGAGAGAGAGAGAGAGAGAGAGAGAGAGCCTGGATAAAAATCAGGTTCACTAAATCCACAGATTGTCACTTGGGGTCAAGGGAGAGGTCACTGTAGTCTTGGACACACACACTGTGAGTTAATGTAGGTCCTCAAAGCATAGTCCTTGACTATGGAGGTCATTTATCTGTCTCACAGCATACCTAACAGTCTCTCTAAAAAGACCAGGCCTGGGCTTTGGGCCGAGTGACTCTGGGCTGGTGGAGATGCTCCCACAGAAGCTACAGACAAAAGAACAGTTCAGAGAATCCACAGACAAGACATCCAGGGTTGAAAGAGGTGACCAATTAGGTTGCCTGGGACAGAGAAGGGTTGGAAAATAAAACTATGAGCCGAGACCTCTGAGATCCACAGTCCTTCACTGCAACACCTTACACACCTGTAATTCTTTATCTGACATAATCACTAAAAGAACAAAGTCATAGGACCAACCATACTAGGTCTTACTTAGCCCCCAGGGGGTAGCCTACATTCCTCATGGATTCCAAATGAAATCAACATGATAAGTGCAATCCTCAAGGTGACTTTGTACACAGTTGACAAAATACAGCTCACCCCACCTACCCAGGCCCTTGGTAGAGGAAACGCAGTCCTCTATTACAGTCGTGGATTCAAAGGCAAGTTCCTCCTAAAATGCTCACCCCGAGTGTCCAGCAGAGGGAGTCTCAAGGAGGTACTTAATAAAGAGAAAACTGTTTCATTTTAACTCTCTAGACAGTGGGAGCCTTGACTGCAGCCCCCTCCCCTAGAACAGATGAACAATGAATGCCCGACATGGTCTCTCCTACGCGTTCACATACCCACCGGCTTGTTCCCATTCTATGTGGTGGAGTGATCAGAAATTTTGTTTTGTTTTGTGGAACGGTTAAATGGACCTTGTGTTCTTCAGAATCAAAGAGGAAAGCCCCTGGAATAACATTTCTCTGTTGCTTTCTAAACAGCCCCTTTGTTTCTAAGAGACTCTGGGAAAAAATATTTACAGTCCATAGGTTATTTACAGCCTCATTATTCCAGAGCCGGACTGGTAACTTTATTCCGTGCAGAAACCTAATTCATTTGGAGCCCTGGAACTAATAACAGATTTTCTTTCCAGATAAGTTTTTTTTTAAACCAGCCTCTCCTAACAGAGATTATTATTAATTAATATTATTAATTATTATTATTAATGAGATCCCTGTTTCACTTGGCCCCAACAGTTCCCTGGCTTCGTAGGATTACAATCTCCCCTCGCCCCTCCTCTGGGTTCCTGGCAAACCCGTTTCCCTTTCTCATTTGCGATTTCATCCACAGAATATCCGAACAAAACCGAAAGAAAGCCAGATGGACCTACGCGAAAAGTATGTAAAAGGCTACTATTTCAATGATTTCACGAGAGAAACATTTTCACGATGAAATAACTGAAAAAAATCAGGCACGCTGCAGTTGGGGGGAAAAAAAGCAGCAGCCCCCGTACTACAAGCACACAAAAAACACATAGAAGTGTAAAAACTTAGTTGATTCGGCTTTGGTTCTCTCGCCGCTGCAAGCTGACGGGACTGACTGAGGAGAGCCGAAGAGTGCGCGAGGCAGCTGTAATCGCCTTACCTTTCCTTTCTTAAGAAGGCAGCCGGATTGGGGGAAGGAAAAAAAAACACCGAGCCAACGCCAGGTGAAGGTGCACAGCTCAGATCCTCCCCAGGCCGAGCCAGGAACCCTTCCTTCGCCCCCCGCCACCCCCCCAAGCCAAACTACATTCTCCCTTCCGCACGCTAATTGCGGGGAGAGATTTTGAGCCTATTTCATTGTTCTGCCTGGGTCTGAAATGGACTTTTCATCTCTACCGTCTCTCACCGCTTGGCCCCCTTATAATTGGATTCCACAGCCGCCGCCGCCGCCGCCGTCTCCACTACCCCCCCCAAAATAAAATAAAATAAAATCGGCGGCTCGCAAAGGATAAAGGAGCGTGGGGTGGGAAAGGGGGCAGAGAGAGAGGAGGGACGAGTAGGAAGGGGACCATCCGAAGGTAGCGGGGGGACGATCGCAGCCCCTCCGCCTCTCGCACACGAGCAGCCACGGCTCGGCGTCTTCCCGCACGCCGCCCCCGATCCTTTGCTCCGGGCGGCAGCCCACCCGGCGCGCGCGCACACACCCCCAGGCCGCCTTCTCCGCCCTGGAAAGAAGACCCCGCTCCAGGCCGCCGGCTCCGGTGCCGTCTGGACCCGGGATGGGGGCCCCGGGGACGGCCACGAGCCCCCCAGCCCTCCCCCCCGGCCCCAGCCCGCCCGCCCGCCCCGCGGCCGCGGCCAGGACCCCCGGGGCTGCGGCCGGGGGCTGCCTGCCTGTCGGCCGGGCGGGCGAGCGAGGGGCCGCGCGGGCAGAACAAAGCTGCGGGGGCCGCGGCTGCGTCCGTGCGTCCGTCCGTCCGTGCGTCCGTCCGTCCGGGCAAGCAGGGGGGGCGCCGGACGCCCCTTACCTTCGTACACGGGGGCCATCGGGGCCGGGCTGTCCGCGGCTCATGGCAACGGGGAAGGGAACGCGGCGCGCGAGCTCGGCCCCCTCAGCCTCAGTGGGAATCTGCCATCTTGAGCCTGTGTCTCCGCTCTCGGCTCAGCCCAGGCCGCCAGCGCCCGCATCACCGCCTCACTTGGCCGGCGCCGGGGGAGGGGGCCGGGCGGGCGGGCGGGCGCGTCGCCGCCGCCGCCGCCACCACCGCCGCCGCCACCGCCGCCGCCGCCGCCGCCGTGGCCGCGGCCCCGGGCCCTACGCGGGGGGCTCGGCCGGCCCGGGGCGGCTAAGGCGCCGAGGCCCTCCGAGGGCCGGGCGGGTCCGCGAGGGCGGGAGCCGGGGCGGGCTGCGGCGGCCAGGGCCCGGGCCGGAGCTCAGCTCCGCATGGCTGTGAGGCGGGGGGCGCCGGCAAAAGTTGCCCGTGAGGAGCCGGGGGGCGGAGGGGCTGGGGGGCGCGCGAGGGGGCGGGGGCGGGGGCGGGGGCGGGGCCGGCGCGGCCGGGCGCGAGCGGGCGGGCGGGCGAGCAGGCGGGCGAGCCGGGAAGAGCCCCCAGGGGAGTCCGCGCGCAATCGAGCGCCGATGGCACGGATGCGAGGCGGGGAAGGCCGAGCCGAAAGGACAGAGCCGGGCGGCGGCGGCGCGGGCCGAGCGCCGCCCGAGGGCAGCCGAGAGGCCGGGCGAGCCGGGCCGGGCGAGAGCGCGGGCGGGCTGTGCGCTGACCCGCGGCCGCCGCCGCCGCCCGGAGCTCCGCGGTGGAGGCGGCCACAACTTTGTGTGTGTGTGTGTGTGTGTGTGTGTGTGTGTGTGTGTGTGTGTGTGTGTGTGTGTGTGTGTGTGTGTGCGTGTGTGCGTGTGTGCGTGTGCGCGCGTGGGTGTGGGTGCGCGCTCCGGCCGGGCCGGGCAGCGCGATCCGCCGCCACCGACCACTGTCCCACTGCCCGGGGGGGGGGGGTGTCCTCGTCCCAGCGCGTGCGGGCTCGGCACTCGCCGATACGCCCGGGGCAGTGAGCGGAGCGAACCGGGCACCCTGCCCTCTCCGGAGGACGCCCCGGAAAAGGCAGCGCCAGGATGGACGCCTGGCCCCGGCGCTGTTGCAAGAGCCCTTCTCTCCTCCGCCATCCGGGTGGCAGGGTCCCAGGGTCTCGCTTTTTCTCTGCGCGCTCCGGGTCGATCGGAACGAACGAAACGGTGTCTAAACTCTCCCAGCCTAGAGTCCTGCCCCGGGGTTTGCCTCTGCAGCTCGCTCCTGCACGTCTGTCTGTACAGACGCCCTGCCGTTGCCTCCAACTTAGGAAAACTTGTTGAGTCCTGACGCAGGAATACACCGTAAAACAAAATCGGTGCTTTTGAAAAAAATCCAACAAAAATATTACCAGAATCCAACAAAAAAGATTTTTTTAGAGCTCGTTGCCCTTCGGGAGGTCAACTGTTGTCTCAAAAAAAAAAAAAACCCTTTGTTTTCACGTACGAATACGGGACACCTGATGTAAACTGTATTATTCCCCCATCTGTGGATCACAGGTCAAAACAGTGAGGGCACGGGAATGTAAAGCGACGGCCTCTAACTCTGTACAACTTTCTTTAAAACACAAGCTCATTGTTTCATTTTCACGCCCATTATTTTCTCACTCTCCTCCCCTTCTCTGTATCCCGTGCTCATCATCCTCCCAGAATAAAAGACAAACTAGCTCCTGCATACACTTAGCTGGTTTTGTTACTGGAAAGTAAGTTTCTCTTCATCCGGGTACAGCCCTTGATGGCCATCCTCTCCGCCTCAGTATTTAACACTACATAATCTAGTGCTTCCCTTACCCTAGTGTCATTTACGTTTGTAGACCCCTAAACTACTGTTGGTAAGGGGGGGGCGCCCTCAGAGGTCATCTGGGCCTGTCATGCAGTTGCAGAAAAGAACCCCGCAATAATAGAGGGAATTGGCCAGTGATACAAAGTATTGAACCTCAGCCTCGGATGTGCAGCTCCCCCCCACCGTGCTGATCTTTCTTCACCCCCTTCGTTCGTCCCGTTCTATCTCCTTGTATTCCTTAACTACCTTCCTAGCTTCGTGCATTGCCAGTTGTTACTAAGAACTGCTGCTTTCCCACTCGGCGCTCCTGCTTACATCCTACACAGCCTCAACCTGACCCAGCGCTCAGTTTCTTAGTTCCTTGGCTTTTAGTCAAGACAGGCAGGTTCCAACTTACCTTTCCTGGGACATGATTTCGGCAAACCTTGGCCTCTCCAGCCAGACTGGTTTACCTGTGGTCCTCTGCCAGCCATGCTCATCTGCGTCTCTGCCCAAAATTTCCACTTTCTCACCATCGGGGCCTGCTATCCCTAAGTAATTTCTACCTGTGGGTTGGCTCATTCCCTTCATAAAACAGCCAAAAATAGCACGTGAAAAGGACAAGCCGGAGTTCAAATCCCACTTCTCCCATTTGGTGGGTGTGTGAACTTGGTCTCATTGTCTGACCTCACCTAGCCTTGGTTTCTCCATCTTGATTATAATAAGAAGAGCAGTAGTAATTCTGTGTTCCCCTGCACCCCTTAGTCTCTTCCCCTGTCTCCACCATGTAGAAACACGTTATTCATTGCTCCGTCTGCCTCTTTCCATGCTGGTCAACAGAGCTTTCTGCAGGCTGGTGGTCCCCATCCACCTGTGGCCCTTGAACACATGATGAAATGCAGCCTGTGTGACTGAGGAACTAAACATTAATGTTAACAGACACACGCAGCTAGTGGCTGCCATCCTGGGGAGTGTATCTCTGTCTGTAAGCTCAATGAAGGCAGAAACCACACAAGCCTTGCTTATCACCTCATCCCCAGGCAGTGGGTGACAGTGACAACTTGTGTTGTCCTCACCAGTGTCAGCACAACACTTAGGAACTTGATTTCTTTTAAAAGATAGCTCATATAATTATCACCACAGCTTCTGAGGTTGAATTCAAGAGAATTAGCACCGGGTGTGGTGGCACATCCCTTTAATCCCTCGGGAGGCAGAGGCAGGAGGATCTCTATGAGTTCCAGGCCAGCCTGGTCTACAGAGCGAGTTCCAGGACAGCCTCCAAAACAATACAGAGAAACCCTGTCTTGAAAAAAAAACCGAGAGAGAGAGAGAATTTGCTAAAGTACTGATGCATAGTAGGGGTTCAATAAGTGGTAGTTATTCCAAACACCTCCCTGTGAGCAGCCGCACTGATTTCTCTCTCTCTCTCTCCTTTCCTTGGGCTGGCTCTCCTTTTCTGTGTGAATATCCGGCCCCACACCTGCACTAGCCAGCTCTTGGGGCCAGCTCTGCAGTGTGTTTGCTTGGATAACCCTTAGCTCAGCACTTGTTCCTCTAACTCCATCTGAGAAGCTGGCGAGCAGCAGATAATCTGGGTAGTTTTATTCTCTGGAGCATCTCCCAAACACACACACACACACACACACACACACACACACACGTGCAATAAAATGAAAGTGGCTTGTATTAGGTGAAAACATCTTGACATTCCTTCCCAGGGGAATGCAGACACAATGGGCAAAGAGACCCTCACGAAAGAGGAGGACGAGGGAGCCATACTGTTAAGACACCCACCTCCTTCCTAGGCCACTGTGACCATAGCTGTCCCTGTAGATGCAAAACTTCAGTTGAAAAATTCAGTTGAAGTAGCATTCTTGGTACCAAAAAGATGGAAAAAAAGAAAAAAACTGTTATTGAAACGAACTTCAATTTTTCTTCTACAAACTGCCAGGCTGAGGAGAGCTAATTATCTCCTTTCCCTGTAGTGGCTGCAGTCAAGTAGGCGCCAGGCACAAGCTAGCCGTGAAGAGCCACTGTGGGAAGGCAGGAAGGGCTGGAGGGGGATGGTCTGACATGATGGCCGGGAGAGCACCAGTGCCTGAACGCTGGGAAGAGGGAGAGAACTATCTGGAGATCAGGGGGCAGAGAGGCAGGTGGACAGCCAGGCAGAAAGGACGTGAGTTCCACAGAGAAAAGAGCATGTGTACCGGCAGGCTGAGCTGCAGTGCTGCCGTCCCTGGGAACACCTGTGAGAGGGGATGGAAAGGCATGTATAGATTCCTTCTGTAAACACCATGGTGCTATGTGTTCCGAGAAGTTTATAACTATTAACCCATTTAATGAATCAGACGTGCTATACTTCATAGAACTCCAAGTAGCCAAAGTGGGTCTGTATCGACTGGTTTTGTGTCAGCTTGACACAAGCTAGAGTCATCAGAGAGGAGGGAGCCTCAATTTAGAAAATGTCTCTATAAGGTCAGGCTGTAAGCTAGCCTGTAGGGTATTTTCTCAGTTAGTGATTGCAAAGGAGGGTCCAGCTCATTGCAGGTAGTGGCATCCTGAGGCAGTGAGTGGTCCTGGGTTCTATAAGAAAGCAGGCTGAGCAAACCATGGAGAGCAAGTCAGTGAGCAGCACCCCTCCATGGCCTCTGCATCAGCTCCCGCCTCCAGGTTTCCGCCTGCTTGATTCCTGTCCTCAGTACCTGCTGTACGAACTGAGTGAAATAAACCGCTTCCTCCCCAAGCTGCCTTTGGTCATGATGTTTCACATCAGCCTCAGTAACCCTAACTAAGGTGGGGTCAGGTGCCTGGAACTGGAGTTATGGATGACTGTGAGCCACCGTGTGGATCCTGGGAACTGAACCTGGTCCTCTGCAAGAGCAGCAAATGTTCTTAAGCACAGAGCTATTTCTCCAGCCCCCAGCTACCACCTCTTAATTCGCCTTTCTATGAGTTGGAACAAGCCCTAGGTCTCTCGGAAGATAGTAAGTATGGACAAGCATCATTTCAGTGTCCTTTTGCTTACATGACAAGTAACAAGGGCCCTGCAGTTGGGAAGGTACATGTGAGGAGCCGCCCTCGC